TAAATGTGATCACTAGGGCCTACTAATTGTCTCCTTGATGGCTGAGCACATGTGGAACCATCTATGCTACAAAATTCACACAAAAAATACAGTGGTCAGTACACAGATCCATAGCAAATAGGTTGAAGAAGTGCTGGACACTATCTGTTTTTGAATTTTGAAGTTTCCTTAAAAAGTTCAAGGAATATTAAAGACTGGATTTTTGGATCGGAAGGAGGAATAAAAAAAAAAAAAAAAAAAAAAAGACGGAATGTTTTAGGCAAAATGGAATGTATTTTCTTCTGCATTGTATCCTTATTCTTATTCCTCCTCTTCTTGTAAAACATATTTCCTTCATGTATTTCTTATTTGTATTCTCATTCCTCAAATGGTTGAACTTTTTTTCTTGCTACTGCTTTTATCATCCTTCAACTTTCCTCATCTTCTTCTTCTTCCATTTTGGTTTGATATGTTGACAGCCCCACTATTTCTGTATGTTACGTATTAACTTCCCTCAGATTGACTTAAAGCAAAATGTTTGAATGTCTAAACTTAAAATAATATCTTTTCCTAGTCTCCGAACTGGCTTTGATTATGGCTTCTAACAGTTTCCAAACCCCTTGATTCTAAATATGGATTTACATAATAAATTTTGCTTTGAATTTAGTCTTAGAGCTTTTATTTTCATACTTAGGAGAATAACTTACAGGGGGTGTGGGGGTTCTGTTCTTTATATTCACATCTATTTATTGAGTTATATGTTTGGTAGTTGCCATGAATAATGCCAGTATATGGGCATACATCAAGGCTATGTTCATGGCTATTTTTTATATTTGTATACTGACCATATATATTTAATCTTAAAAATATTTCAGTTTGCAAACAAAGCTGCTCTTTTCTTCTTGTGTTTCATTTTCCAAAGGGAGGCCTGTTGTTACAGTTTATTGATGAATAGAATCTGGTGTCAGTATATAGTGCCAATTGTTAGGTATGAGGTGGAACTCAGACATTCCATAAAATATGATATTTGGAAGGTAAATTCATAGCAAAATGTATATTGTTTACTCCTCATTTGTGTAGATTTTCTTTATACCATGATTAGTTTGATTGTGTTTAGGGGATTAATCTCAATAAAGTTTTAAAAATGTTTATTCTACTATGTTTGACATTACATTGCCCTTTTGGCTTTGTGTTGCTGATCAACATTTGAAATTGGTTGATAAATTTTGTCAATTTTTTTATTCCAGATTTTAGCCTAGATCTTTGGCATCCACAGCCTGTAAGCCCCTTTATGCATGCTTTACAAAATGTGTGGTAGAAGATCCCTTTACTTTATGTGAACTAGATAATTTGCTCTTTACTTGTTTGTGATGCTAGGAATGTAATTCATTCTAACTCTTGTAATTTCTTTTGGTAAGGAGTAAAACTGCCTTTTTTTACGAGAAGTTTCATTCTAACTACCATCAACTGGGGAATGATCTTTCAACCTGCCTTTGTCAAACTGAGAGAGCATCAGGAATTTTAGTCCTCTTCTTTTTAGTTAGGCACCTTCTTTGTGTCCCTTATCTTTCTGTTCCATTTTTCTTGTCTTATTTTTTTCAGCATTTTTCTTGATGGGTGCTTGACAGATAATTAGAACTTTGCTTATATATACATTGAATTTTTGTACCTATTTATTAGTGAAAGCATGCAACTTCAGTAATCTTTGATGCCTTATTAACATTTTGCCATTTTATGTACATGGTCTTTTGCATTTTTTGTTACTGTAAGGTTTAACTTATCTAAATTTACCTAGATATCTCATTGGGTTTAAAATAAGATAGATTGTTGAGGCAGACAAGCCCTCGGTATTTTTATATTTAATTTTAAAAAAATACAATTGCTAGAAAGTAATTGACCTTTAGTAATTCTTTTTTTGAATGTTTATTTTTATATGGTTCTGTATTCCTTTTTTCCTCTTGTGCGTTATGCCCTGCCTCATCTTCCATCTTCTCATTCTTCCCTCCTCTTCTTGTTTACTACTTCTTCTTCTTCTTCTTGTTTACTTCTTCTTTTTAGGGGAGTGGGTATTTTTAATTTTCTCCTCCTTCAGTTTCTCCATCATTCTCCTTTTTTCGCATTCCCTGTTCGCACCATAGCACTTCAAAGCCTCAGTCTTTTCCTCTTACCTGCAGCGGCTTGAGCCAAGGGAGCAGTTGAAGATCAGCACCTACGTCTCCCATCCCTGGGTTTTCCAGGACTCGGAGACGACAGCCAAGTTGGTGGTCAACTCAGAAGACGTATTTTTCCCCAAGCCGTGGTACGAGGTGAGTAAGGTGAGAGTTAAAGGAGGATTGTTGGTTGGTTGAGGGTTAGAGAGAGAGAGAGAGAGAGAGAGAGAGAAAAAAAAAAAAAAAAATCTGTTGTATTACAGAAAAGAGATTTTTTAAATTCATTTATTTATTTATTCATTTATTCTCTCCTTCTATTTTTTAGGGGTATATCAGTTTTTTGCTTAGCACATTGAATGGTAATTTTATGACGTTTGATAAATAAGTAGACTCATTTTTTATTTGGTTCTATTACATAAGATTATTCCATGCCATTTTAATTATTGAGTACTATTACATCTTACAGATTTTCTTTATATTTCACATTATGTGCTACTACTTTATTATGTACAAATAGCTTTTAGGGTCTCCTGAATAGTAGGGGAAGCACCTCCTGAAAAAGTGAAAAAAAATATATATATATTGAATGCATCTGAGAAGAAACAAAACTCCATTCCTCACCAACACAAACACAATACTAACACATATATATGTATGTAAATGATATTAAAAGATTACCAATAAAAATAGTAAAGATTAAGAAAACTACAGCCCCTAACACCCTCATTCCAGGGGGCCTTGCAGGAGGGACAAGGCATTCAGGGTCCGGTGTCTCCACGTCACATCACTGTTTACATTAGTATTCCTCTCTATACTCTAAAGGAGAGAGCAACGCAGGTAGGGAATATTCATATGTTGTGTGTGTGTGTATGTGTGTAGGTAAGCACATGTAAATGCTTACTTAAATATGGCATTCGAATTCTGTATTGTTTGTTTAGGTATTCTTGTGATCATTTGTTTTCATTTAGCAGTAATTGTTTGTCTTCGGTATAATTAGATGTTGATGTTGATTCTATTAAATATAATCCATGTTTTTTAGTTTTCATATCCGAGTAACATATTGTCCTTCATATTTATTCCTTTGGATTTGCTTTCAAACACCATATTTTTAATTCATCAAAACTTTACTTATATGTAAAACTGTTTTTCTTTGCCATTATTATTGAGTCAAATATCCTTTGATGTCAAAATTGACTGTTTTTTTTTTATTCCATGCCTAAATATAATGATAGCAGTAATAGTGATTATGATACTACTAAATTTTTTTCTTCAGTACCATGTTTATTGTTATTACTTTTATTGTTTATAATTATTATTGTAATTACGATTAATTGTGCTGTACCTATTTTAAATGTGCCTGTGTATGTTGATAAAGTGTTTGGCCAAACTTTTTTCATTGCCTATTTCTCGATTACTAAATTAAAACACATACAGAGACATACAAACACACTGCACTACATTACATACCAAACACACAAGTACACAGATTCTCAAAATAGGCCTGTTTGGGATGGACGAATAGCTTGACCAAACTTCATATAGCCCCTGTTCTAGAGTTTTTAAACAGATGCATACACACACATGCACACACCAAAATGTCACATTGTGTAATAAATGAAACCCCAACACAGATTTTCAAGGGTTGCCTAATCAGTATGGGTAAATTGCTTTGGCTGACTTCATACATCTGTTTTTTTTTTTTTTTTTTTTTTTTTTTTTTAAGTAATTGACATACATGTGCCTCACCCTCCCCCATAAACAAAGAAAAACAGACAGACAGGCAGACAGAATGTAACTTACTTGTTAACATTACTATTATTGTTATTATTATTATTATTCAAATCATTATTTAATACAATTGCTATTATAGATATAAGTAGTACAGTTATTGTATTATTATTGTTATTGTTATTAGTCACACCACCACAAATACAACTATAACTGCTAGTATTAACATTATTAGCTTCATACCCCTCCTCTTCCTTCTTCAGGTGATTTGGTCACACCTACGAGACCCGAAAGACGCCTACAAGTTAGACATCCCTGCAATACTCATGAGTGGCATTGCTGAGTGGGCTGCCTGAGAGGATCTGATTGTTCTGAGCTGTTGTGCTTTAGTTGCGCAAAAAGCTATTCAAGAAGTTGTGGAAGGCTTGGTAAGTTGGTTCAGGACTCTTAAGGTTTTGGTTTAGAGGTTGAATCCTGTTTTTATTTTTGTTTTCTTCCAGTTCTCTACTCAGTTTTTAATTTCCTCTTTGTGTATTGCTAATAATTATTAAAGTTATCACCTTTATTATCATCATCAGCTTAATCATTAATATTATTATGTTCATTATTATTATAATTATTACTTTTATAAATATATAATAGTTGCTCTTCCCCACTTCCAAAATCTATACCAATTTATTACTGTTATGCTCTACTAAAACCTTTTTTCACCAGAAAGTAGAGAAGATATCATACAAGAACCAAAATGGCTGGAACAGAGAGGCTGGAGAATGTCAACCCCCACATCTTTGCCAAGGCCGGGGAGAGGCTAGCAAGCCCAACTGACTGGGATGATAGCGTATACGATCCATTTGATTCCCGTGAGATCTTTGACTTGATCAGGAATATTCGTGACCCGGAGCATCCCTTGACCCTGGAGGAACTCAATGTGGTAAGTGTTTGTTTAGTTATTAGGATATTGATATTATTGTTATTATCATTTGCACAGATATTACGGTTGACAGGACTTGCCAAGTAGTAGACATTATAAGATTCCCTCTCCTTATAATGTTCTTTCTTACTGCTATACTTCTATCCATTATTTCCTTCTCATCCCAAAGGTAGAGGAGAATCAATGTGAAGTGAGTGATGCAGAGAACTTCGTCATGGTACACTTCACACCCACAATCCCTCACTGCAGTATGGCTTCTCTTATTGGCCTTAGCATAAGGCTCAAACTGCTTCATGCATTGCCTGCAAGGTATTGATTTCAAAACTCTGGTTTCCTTGTTGTCTTCTTATTTCTGATGATTTTTCTTTTTTCTTTTCTCTTCATTTTTAGTTCCCTATAACTTAATGGTTTGTGTGTTGTGTTCTTTTATCCAGGGTGCATAAGTAATATACTTATATTTATACCATTAAGGCAGTGATTAGGTTAATGGCATATATATTACTTCATATTTCTCCATAAGCTTTTAGTTTTTGTAACAAGAAACTTGCTTCATTTCTAAACTTTTCCCATGTCCTTCATATTACCCTTAATAGTATTTCTTTCTGTTTCTTTCTTTTTTTCTTCTATCTTTTCTCTCTTTCTTTACAGCTATATCTAATTGCAATATATTTTATGGATGTTATTCTCATAACTCATGTTACATGTTACATACTTCTCTGAGAAAAGTGTTTGGTCTGTAACTCTGATTATAAAATCAGTTTTGGTTTGTAAATAAAGTTTACTTTTACTTCACCTAGATATTTTGTAACAAAGAACTTCTCTTATATCTTCCAATCAAAGATTTAAAGTAGACGTCCGCATTTCACCGGGCACCCACGCATCAGAACACGCCATCAACAAGCAACTCAATGACAAGGAGCGTGTGGCTGCAGCTTTGGAAAACTCCCACCTCCTAGAAGTCATCAACAAATGTTTGAATCCACGTTGACATGTGCACCATTGATTGTTACTCTGAGAGGGAAAATTGAGGAAAGGCGTTAATTTGAGGTGATGACTCGGGAAGCCTGGAATACTCTTTTTTTCTTGTATTTTAATATGCTTTGTGTTACATTGTGTATGAAGTATTTTAATATTAAGAAGAGATTGGAGCGAAGACAGGAGTTTGAGTTGGTTTCTGTAAAAGGAAATTTGCTTTTCTTTGTTTTCTGCTTCCTCTTTCACCATCTTTTCTTCCTTCCCTTCCCTTTTACCATTTTTTGTTCTCCTGCAATCTTTTTTTAAAGTTCTCACTTTAAAAGGTAATTATGATTTACATGTGGCAATGATTTTCATTGTGTGTGTGTAATCAAGTTTAGTATTTGTTTTAACTGTTTGTATTACATATGTTTTGGTATTTTTGTTCAACTTTGAAGGAAAACAGGAAAGTAAATTATTAACCATTTGTAGTTTTATGATTATTTCAAGCTAGAAAAAGATTCTGTAATTGATCTGAATCAGGGGCAGGTCCAGAGAATTTTCTGGTGGGGTAACAATAAATCTGGGGGGGTTGCCCAAAAGAAACAAAAATTAAGACTGCCTTCTACAATATTTATATTGTACAGTCACACATTGTTTATATTTTCATCTTGCTGTGTGAGTAGGAAGACACCTCTGATCTGAATTCATTCCATATGAATTAAGAAATTAATGTTACATTCACTACCAAGGGTTGACAAAAAATGGAAAATGTCAAAGACATGCTGAAACCAACTATTTTTTTTTTTTTTGGTGTATTTTAGTCAACTGATAATGCACATAGGACCAGCAAATAGCAATACAAGCTCTTCCAATTTTGTGCTCTATTTACATTTTTGTAATCCCTAGAACCCTCTGTATACCTTTATCTTTTCTTTAGGTATTCAGTGAAATGCAAAAAATTCCCAGAACTGCATCAGTAGAAGATAGAAAGAAAGAAAGAAAAAAGATTTTTTGAAAGAGAAATGTTTTTGTATCTTATTTCTCAAAGTGAAGTATTAAGTATTCTGCAATAACATGCTGGAGAATTGCATGAACTATACATAACTATGCATACTGTATTAGATATATTATACAGTCTGTACTATGTGAGTATTGTAGATTGAAATCTAGCTTAAGCTATTAAATTTTATTATCATAGATTTGAGAGATTTTGATATACTTGTCCATCATGACAGTAATGCAATATAAATACATTATGTAAAATTCACCTTTAAAACTATACAAACTATACCAATATAAAGAAAGAAAAAGAGAGAGAGGGACATATCCTACTATAATCTTTACTTAAAAAGAAGCATTTAACAAATAATGATTTGTAATATAATTTAAGTTAACTTTGTTTCATTTAAAATATAAGTTGGAGTTGCAATAACTCAAAACCAGACAAGTTTTTAACAGTACTCTCTCAAACTGAACACATTTTCTATACATTATACACTAGTATATACTAATAGGTAATGCGGTACATACAATACAATCATAACACTGCTTTCTATGGTACACTGATATACATATATAATAAATACACTTTACTCTTTACACCCATTTTCTATATAGTACAAGTATACTATATGAATACTATTCACACTGTACACTGTTATAAATCACTCATATATTTGTACTTTACTAATGGCTTGTGAATTATGCTATACTTTTGCTATACTACTGCTGTACATTCTTTACAAAACAAATACCAGAATTACACATACTATGCATAGTTTTGCATGAACTAAAGTGAAAATATTATTAATTCAGTGTAAAAGCTTCATTAAGGAAAAAGTATGTAATACTACACTTCTCCCTGTGAGTGTTGTTGTAGAGGCTGTTATTTATGGCAGATTTGTGAATTCCTTTTTAGACATGTTTTGATGCTGGCTGTATTAGTTGGCAGTTTTCATGTTTGTTATTAGTGAGAAAAGATTTGAGCTCACATATTGAAGAAACTTTTTTAAAAATTGGAATAACGGAAAAACATGCTTACACATACACACATACGTATATATATTTACATACTTTCGTATCTATAGATACATTACCATTTCTAGAAAAGACAATGAAATTTATCCTCACATGGTTCTTTTGTGTACCATGAAGATATATGCCATAATAGTGTTAATTATCACTTAATAGTGAGATATAGAAAAAAATATGTAGTGTAAGATTTATATATATCCATAGACTATATAAAGACTATTTTTGGAGCATGGAAGGATGCCTTTTTCAATATACCTGTCAAAAAAAATTTCATTTTTATATTATTAAAAAATGTTTCTAAATTGTGATCTCCCATGTTCCATTAAATTATTTTTCTCAGTATTTTGTATTTCTCTTTCCTGTAACCCCCTAAATGGCATATGACCTATCAGTTCAATTTCTCTGGAGGGTGGGCAAACATTAAAACAAAAACCCTTACAAACCTTCCTTTAATGCAGGGTTGTCAAACTCACTTACCAAAGGGGCTGCATTTCACCATAGTATACTATATGTAGCCAGAGTGTCATGAGTAGATCAAAACTACATCTTATTAAGGCAATATTAAAGCCACAGTGGTAGAAAAAAACAAGAGTGTAAGTCACAATCATATATGACAAAGGACTGGCTTAATTAATCGCAAAATGGCTGACTGTAAAACTGAAATAGCAACTGTGCCACAGGCCACATATTTGACACCCCCACTGCTACATGCAGCAGGAAAAGTCGTGTCATAAACAGCAAATGCAAAATATCCTTTTGAGGCTAGAAAGTGATCGTGCAGTGAGCATGACAATGGACTTCCAAACTATTAAGTAAAGTTATACAAGATCAAGACATAACTGAAGAGTGAAAATCTTGTGATTAACCAAAGCAATGGTTTTTACACAGAATTAATTTGTTTAAGGATAAGAAACGACAATACAGTTCTTGAGTTTTAATAAGAAGCTTATATATTCATAAATCACAGATACAAGACTTTTAACACTACTCCGAAATAGGTGTTTGATTTACACATACATTATATATAAAAGAAGGTATGACTCAGGAACTCACGCAGTACAACACAACCATAAGATATTTCTAACCAAAGATACAGAAAATGAGAAAAAATCTTAGGACTACCTTATGATAGTAGTTCAAATCCTGTACCAATACCACAGCCAATAGATTATATATATATTTGTTAACCTTACCTTTCTTTATCACCAAATATTTGGGCAACATCCAATATATACATGTTATTTATGTTGTAAAAATGAACTTTTTTCCATTTTCTTGACTCTAACATTAACCCTTATTTTATATTATTGTCACAGAAACATTTGATATTCTCTGTAAATATGCCATGAGCAACTGCATAAAAACAAATAACCCAAGAAGGTTACACATCAAATTGATAATTTTCAATAACTAATCTATAATGAACAATTACATGGAAATGTTTTTTTATAGGAAAATAGAAGACAGTAATATATATATATATATATATATATATATATATATATATATATATATATATATATATATATATATATATATATATATATATATATATATATATATATATATATATATATATATTAATATATATATATTTCATGTATTTGTGTGTGTGTACATAGATGAGTGAAATAAAAAAATATATATATTAAAAAATTTGGCATATTTCAAAAAGTATCAAGATAACTATCAGATAATATCACTTTTGACTAAATATGCTACACGAAAGAGGAAAATAAAATCAACAGAAATAATGATAATACTACCACAACATCACAAAAGTAAAGCAGCAGAAAATCGACCCTTTTCGCATCTATGTCTACCATATATATCTTGGCGAAATTATATTCGTATGAGAATTCCCAGTAGTTGTAATGTATGAATACTACAGATTTTGAAATTATTGTTCTTACATATGCCTGTTATATATAGATTTTAGGAGATAATGAAATACAATACAGAAAATTGAGGTTAAGGGCCATAATTGTTCATAAACCAATTTGCAAAACACATGTTAAATAACGGTATTGAAACAACTGATTATCTGATAAATGAAAAATCAACCCAACAAGTTATTTTAATAAATTAACAGGCATAAAACATACAAAACATGCACATGATGCAAATAAAAATTAAAATACTTTTGGCCAAAAAAATTAAATTAAAGTCTTCATGCACAATAAGTTCTACTTATTCAATATCTTACAGTCAAAAATATGAT